TTCTTACCAAGAGATTTCACACCAGGTTTTCCAGAGCTAAAGAACAACCAAAGACAGTATGAGATCTGACTGACATGTTATCGCTCTTCACCTGCATAGTTATATTGAGGTTTCCATTATACTGAAACTTCCATCTCTGAACTTTTTGGTTGCTTCAGTGCTGAGATCATTGACTTCATCCCTGCTTCACTGATTAAAAAAAAGGAGGAAAAAAGGAATAAACATCAGGAAGGTATTGCAATGTAACTTATTTCTAAACCAAAAAATCCTCCACTCTAAAAAGTGGATTATGAAAGTGAAAAGGAAAATAACACTGCATAAGATAATTGCATAGCAACACCTGACATTCATGAGTTCACATGGGGATTTTAATGATGGGATATAGCAAATATCCAATTAGATCTCCTTAAATGTTTTACTCAAATATGTTTTTTTCTAGAATATGCTACATTTCTTTAACACATATTCCATCACCATGTAAAGCAGATTGGAGGTCAAAAGACATATGCTGAACTTCAGAATTAATAACAGACATTGCTATACAAGATTGAGAATTCTATAATTCTTGAATCCATTATTTTTAGGCTGTTAAAACTAGAATGAAATTTTCATTTCACAACAATTGGGTCAAAAAGCTTGAAGCCAGTAAGTGTTCAAAATGGTTTAATTTATATGCCTCTAAAACTCTCTGATCTCCTTTTAGCCCAAACTGCGCATCACAGGGCAACCATTTTTGAAATAAGGTACCTCAAATGGGCTAATTTAAATAACAGGTCTAAAATCCAGGACTTTCAGGGAATTGAAATTTTAAGGATCTTCAGAACAGTTGTATTCATGAACTTGTGGCCATTGCAGTGTGACTGGGCTCAGCCATAGTCAGATGATCTTGACATCCAATGCTCCCTGCCAGCTTCCCACAAGCAAAGTCATCGGGGAAGCCATCAGGTAGTCAAAAGTCATTCCCACTCCCACTGATTTTTGCCCATCCATGATTATTCTTTGTTAAATAAAGAAATACCTCTGAAAGGATGACCCAATTGGCCTTGAGTTCTAAATGTAGTTTACCCTACACTACACAGTAACAAAGTAACAGAAAACAAATCTAAAATGAAGGTTCAGATTTACATAGCTGGATTGTGAAGTTCAATAGGAATCTTTTCCCCTTCACGGGTCCTTTCTCTATTCCCGAGTTGAAGTGCTATCCACTCATCCTTAAGTAGACATTAAACATTGCCTTCATAACATTGTTCCTATTGCTGATCCCCATCTGTTGCTGCTTCAAATCACTTCAGTCACCTGACCTCCCTCCAAAATAAAGGTGACCAAACCTAACAGATCTGGCCAACCTTGAGGCTGCCCTTGGAGAGCACTGGAAGAAAGAGGAAAATATTAATCTGGTACATCTAAGGACATCTCATTTATGGCCTGAGAATAAGATGAAGGCCATATTATGAGGACATAACAGAAAATAAAACTGTTGCCAAGGTCATTTTTCTGCTGTGATTAATGCAAGGGGGGGGGGGAAATTCTTAAGACTTGTCTCTCTATAACACGGCAATTTATTCATTTGGTAATTTTTATATTATAATTTTAGCCAACAAGCTGATTTTTTTTAGCTTTTCCTTTACACCATGGCTCCTCAACTAAAACCACATTCAGTTTGACTATGATAAGAACCCCACTTCACTAGACAGGGCAATTCTCCACATTTGGACACAGGCAGCTAGATTAATTTGCCACAACATAAGCAATAAAGAGCCTCTTAGGCACCTCAAGGGTTAAAAGACTTGTGAAATAGAAGTCACTTTATCTAAACATATCACAATAAGTCTGCTGGACTCCTCCAGCCCTTTAAGGAGCAGCTTATGAGCAAATGTTTGGGCATAATTTGTTCGCATTATTATTAAAATGTATGTCTCATTTTGTGGGAGGAGGTGATGGGTAGAACTAAGAGAGATTTACAGTTTACCACTGCACAGTGCAAATAAAGTCAAAGATTTGCAAAGCTGTGAAACCTGTCGGACCATGGAGTAAAGGTGGGGATCTTAAGGCTCATGTAACAGAAAGATCACCACACAGAAAGGAAAATGCATTTGGCGATGTTTGATCTTTGAAGAGTTTCACAGTAAAAAAACAAAACCCTGGGTTTTTAAATACAGGAAAAACTGAGACAAAGTTTTGAGCATGGGTTTGGAGGTATATTATGTGGATGACATGTAAACAGGAGTTCACAAGTACCACTGGGAATTCTTCCCTCTCTCTGCCTCCCAGATTCAAAGCAGCATCTTTTGTTACTTCAGATTCTATTTAGATTTTAGAAGGTATCTCCCCTGTACCAATTGCTGCAGTAGCATGTACGAAGCTGTTCTTCACTATCCTAGCTTATAGGGTCTGGTTAAATGTCTCTGGGCAGCTTTGCTGCTTCCCTTCTTGCTAATGGTCATTTTTGTTATTTTTACAATCAATTGAACAAAAGTACACAACCTGAACAGAAAGCATGATGAGACAGGTATATTAGCAATTTCTTCTCTTTCCATTTTGTGTGGAGTTTGGGTATGGGTTTTGTTGTTGTTGTTGTTGTTGTTGTTGTTGTTGTTTTTACTTTGGAACCTGCAGTCATTCTGCCAAGGTATCAATAGTAAAATGTTTTTCGAAGGCACACACTGATGCAAGACAGAATATTGGCTAGCCTGTGGCATTTTCTGCTTATTCTGTGTTTTGAAGTCAGCAGAAGTGCAGACGGCCAAAGATCAGCTCTGAGCTCCTTTGGATAGTCAAGAAGGCAAGAGTGTAAACATGTCCTTTAAAATGCCTCAAGACAGGTTTTTAAACAAATGTAGCATCTCCATATCCTAGTGATATGATAAGATTATAATGTAGCGTTATATAATTCTATTTCTTAATATCTTGTCTGATTTGTTCAAAAGGTATATATTAAGGCAGAATTAATCACCATTGGAACTAAAACTTTGACTTCCTTTTAAAATATTGCTACAATAGCCTTACCCAACCTAGTGCCCTCCAATAGATTATATAAATTTTAACATTACCAATTTGCAGCATAGCAAAAGGCACCGGGTTATGTTACAGGATCTTTTAAACGTATCTGCTTATCTGAAGGTTTTAGAGAGAGAAGCCACACTCAAGAGAGCTTCTCACACATACTTTGTAAGTACACACAGTAGATATTTGCATAGTGTCCTTCAACCTTAGTATAAATGCCTTTGCTTCTATTTAATTCAAAGGGGTTGCCATCTTTAAACTAAAACTGTATCCTGGTCTGTGACTATAATTAAAGACTGAGTGATTAAAACAAAACTGCAAAACGTCTGAATACCATTCTTATGTAAAAAGAGAAAGATCTAAAATAAACCATACTTTACCCTAAACTTTTAAAAACAAGGGCCAACTTCAAAATGGGCAAAATACCATCTCGTTTGGCAGATACGTGTGGAGAAAAAAAACAACAACCCAATGTTAGTGTGCATGTCTAAGAATGGGAAGGAAACGCAGGATATGTAACCACATAATTCTTATGCAAAACAAGTGCAACAATTACTGTGAATTCGTGGTTGGTGGCAGAAACACATTAGGTAACAACGTGATTTCTGAACAAATATCTTACAAATACCTCTCCCACGGGTCTCTGTTTTGGGTTTTTTTTTTGATAGGGTGATCCCTTGGAAATCTGAACGCGACCCGAGCAGCTTTTTTTAGATCCTCACTTAAGAGCCGAACGGGCCGATACAGAAAAAGTTCTTTATTTCACCGGATTCTACATAAGAGGGTGTCCTCCCTGTTTTCGGTTCTTCGCCCCGCCTGCTTCAGCAGATCCCTCGGACGAACTGACCACACGGATCTACTCTGTATTAGAGACCTATACTTCTGCCATCGCGTCGCAAGCCCAGCCCTTCTTTCCACCACGGGTCTCAACACTCACGTGGAGCCTCAGAACTCCCCCCACCGAGGCACAAAAAGGCCCGCCTTCCAGCCGTTGGCCGTCTCTTATTGGCCGGTGCCAGCGGTTACCATTCCGGCGGCGGGCGGGCTCCTTTGTGACGCCACAATCAGCTGTTTGAACGTTCCAATTTCTGAGCCAAGATCAACTGGGGATTCAGCAATAACCGAAAAATAAAAATACGAAAACTACATTTGGAGAGGGAGAGCGTCCGGATGCAAGGGCATCTGCATGCATTTGGCAGTGTTGCATATCTTCTGAGAAGATCAGAGACACGACTGACATTAACCGCCGCAACCATCTCCTTCTCTTGCTAATGTTTAATATTTTTTTTCCGGTGGGGTGTCTTTCTTTTTTCTTTTTTTTAAAAAAACAATCCTCAGTTCTATTATGAACCTTAGTTGTTGATTTCAATTAAAACTACCTCACAGACTTCGCCTAAAGCTGGTGCTTTTAACAAACAACTTGTAGGTTTTTTTTTAATGTGTGTGTTCTTGTGGCGTGATTTACAAAACAGTTGATGACAGTAAAAGGCAAGTGAAGGTAAGCGATGCTCTCCCTCTCTCCGAGAGTTTATTTTTAACCTCTCTTTGTGGGAAAGAAACCACCTGCGGTATAGATCCTGTATGCTGTAGATGTTGCTCGGGTCTTTGTTTCTTTGTTTTCTGTTTCTTTGGTTCAGCGCTACATATTTTCTTTTTCGCAGTAGCGTATGGCATGCCGTTTTCATACCGATTTTCTTTCTGGGGGGATATTTTTAATTCTCCTTTGTATTTGGCAGTACATCTTTCCGCCTTGGTGCTTAGTTGTAGATTTCTTAGTACGTGTTGTTATGGACGCGTTGTGGTTTCATCTTCTGGTTAGCACGGAGAGACCCAGCAGCCTTATTCGGCAGCCAACCCGCAGAAATGACTAAAATTCGGGGAGAGAAGGAAAGAAAGATGCGGAGAGGAGGAAAGGAAGACGAGAATATCTCTATCTATCTATCTATCTATCTATCTATCTATCTATCTAGAGATATATAGATATAGATATATAGATATATATTCTTCGCCTTGTTGGTGCGGAGGCTCGCTTCTCCCTCTCATTGAGGTCATAGCAGGCGCTGGCGAATTGCAAAGGGTTCCTCGTAAATTAGCTGCAGATCTCAGAGCGGGGACTTTGCGTTCAGTTGTAGCCTTGAGCGCCGGGTTACCCGTAGCTCTGCCAGGGACGGATTACGCACCGCAATCCGGCCGGCTCGCTCTCGCTGAGGTGGGGCGGAGGTGGGATATGGGTCCCTACTACCGCTAAGGCTCAGCTAGAGGTAGCGCGGCTCTTGACCCGGCTTGCTCGGTTTCTTCCTTCCGTTTGTTTTGCTTCGCTGGCGATTTCACCTTTTGTGGAGCTGGGCGAAGGGACTGATCGGACCCCGCCTCTGGGGTTTAGACGGTACCGAGAATCAACCTGGTTTTCAGGCGCGTCCTTGGATGGACTCGGGAAAGGCAGGCGGAGAGGCTGGAAAGAAAAAGGATCTGGAACTCCTTCTTTCCTGCCAGATCCCTGGCAAGTAGCGTTGGGTAAAACCAGGCAGGGCCTGGCGTTTTCCGAAAGGACTTGCCTGTTGAGTGACATCAGCTTCTGAACTAAAGCCCACTATGTCAGATACAATAAAGCAGAATGGGTGTCTTTTTCTCTTTAAAGACGAAACAGAGGTTGGGGGTGGGAAGAGAAGAAGGGGAGCGATCATGTTAAAATGACAACTTTCTAGATCCAGTCCCGAAGGGGGAAAGGGAAAAACAACAACAAACGCCTAATTTCCTTAATTTCACTGCGATTCCTCCTCTTTCTCACATCCCACATTGTCTTCTCTTGCTGCCTCCTTTTGTTACTCGCTTCTTCGTCAACGGATTAAGATTAAAAACTGGTTTCCGTTGCCATTGGCTGCCTAGGATTAAAAACCTGTGTTGACGGTCTCGTCATTTGCATATGACATTGTGACGTCACCAAGGCCAGCCCTTTCCAATCTCCCTCCTCCCTCTCCCCACCTACGCATGTTGAAGCTGTCCTCTTTTGACCTGGGTGGATGGGCTGTCACGTTTTTGAAGGGCTGGAGTTTCGGGCCTGGGCCTTTGATAATTGGATGGCAAAG